AGTTGGCTTAAAACTGTTAAGTACAATAGCAATCAGCTTTAGGTTACTTCAGTCCTGTGAGATGAGGATACCCCTAGTTTTTTATAGGGCACTCTGGAATATTACTGACTTGATGTGTTACTTAGAGTAGAGTCTAAGCATATCTCAAATATCACCACACTTGAGTGATTTTTAGCATTGGGCCCTCTTAGTTGACAGTGATTTCTGACATGTCAATTTCCTGAGAAATTATAATGGGCATTTAGAAAAAAACATGTACAGTTCCTATGCTTTGTTCTCACAGCAACAGCTAATATATAAAAAGTGCTATATTTTGCAGAAGAATTTGGGATGAGGATGATGAGTGCTATTAATGAAATGATATAATAGTAGTTGAAAAATACCACCAATAATAATAAAAGGTGAAAGCCATGAATCATAAAAGAGGGTAATTATGTTTGTTCGTTCAGCCAAACCAAAGCAATTTCAACCACTTTGGCTGTGTTAATTTTTACTTTTATACAGTTTACCTATAAAAGACCATCCTAATAATATATGGACACTTATTAGGCTTAAAAGCCCAAAACTAGGCATGGTGGCACATGCGTGTGGTCCCAGCACTCAGAAGGCTGAGGCAGGAGGATCATGAGTTTGAGACCAGCCTGTGCTTCACAGTAAGACCCTGTCTTAAAAAAACAAGTTAAAAAGTTTTATGAATACTGGTATTAGTTTCTGTTGCAAATTACCACAAGCTTTGTGGCTTAAGACAATGCAAATGTATTTTCATACAGTTCTGGAGGCTAGAAGTCCAAAATGAGTTCTGTAGGCCCAATGTAAAGATGTCGGAGAGTCACTTTCTTTTGCAGGGCTCGGTGGGTGGCATCTTCTGTTTTTACCTTTTCCATCTTGGTGGCTGCTGGTGTTCCTTGGCTTGTTGTCACAGCACTCCTGTTTCTGCTTCTGTTGTCACATTGCTGTCTCCTAAACTTTGTAGCCATGTTTTATCCTGCTCCCTCTTAGAGGATGTCTAGATTACATTTAGGGCTTACTCAGACTATCCAGGATAATATTCTCATCTCAAAATCCATGACTTGATCACATTTGCAAAGTCCCTTTGGCCAGTAAGGCAGCATTCACAGGTTCTGGGCCTGATTCAACTTGCCACAATACCCATTATGATATATTGAGATTTTAATGTACAATCTTATTTTAACCAGGATTTCTTCTACATGTTTCGTTTAGAAGAAAGGCATTATTTTACATTTCAGTGTTGTTATAGAAGTCAATAGCTGGCTTTTAATTAACCATCTTCTTTTGCTAATTGTGTCATTAGTGGTTTTTTCAAAGTAATTCTTTAATTCTATAAGATCTATAACCCAGCAAGTTGAAATTGAACACATTATAGTAAATCACTTGGAAATTTTTGTTTTGTCTTGCATTTTCCATGCTTTTTTAATATTTAAGAAACTTTTATTTGGAGGTAATTTTATACTTACAGCATAGTTGCAAAAAATAGTACAAAAAACCCACTTGCATATCCTATCCTTTACTTAGATTCAACTGACATTAACATTTTCTCCCATTTGCTTTGTCTTCTCTATGTATGTATCTTCTTTGTTTTTGACATTAACATTTTTTAAATTATTTTATTTTATTTTTGCTGACCAAAAATGTTTTTAATGTAGGGAAATTCATTTCACAAGGCATTTATTTCATCTCCTTTGTCAAGATTCACATATCAAGAAGGCCTTTGAGGGGCCCATTTTCTAATGACTTTTTATTTTAAAAAAATGAATGTAAATACGAAATCTTTTAGTTGATTGTTCTCCTTTAAAAATTATTAATCAAGTTCTAGAAAATGAAGATACTATTTTAAGTTCTGCTTTTAAGACTGTCCTTTGCATTGAAGATTTATATCCTTTTTAAAAAATCTTTTAAGGCAGGGGGTTGATTGTTACAAGAAGGGTGACTTTTTTTTATTGTTTTATCATTCATATTTGCATACAATGCTTGGGACATTTTCTTCCCCCTGCCCCCACCCCCAACATTTTTTTTAAATGTAATCTTCCCCCCTTTATTTTCCATGGTTAAAATTTTTAAAAATTGGATATAAGTCACAAACCATGCAGTCCTCCTTTCTCAAGTGAAAAATTGGGTGGTTTTGGTATATTTATAAAAGATTGTACAACCCTCACCGTGATCTAATTTCAGAACATTTCATCATCCCAAGGAAACCCTGTACCTTTATAGTATTCCTCACTCCATCCTTTGTCCATCTCCTGAAAACCACCAATCTACTTTCTGTCCCTTTGGATTTGCTTGCTCTGGAAATTTCATATGAATGGCATCATAGATTATGTGGCCTTTATGCCTGGCTTCTTTCACTCTGCATAATGCTTTCAAGGTTCATCTGTCTTGTAGCATGAATCAGTACTGAATCTTAAGTAAGAATAATATCCCATCTTGGAATAGAACTGCTGGGTCATGTGGTAACTGTTTAACTTTTGTGGAACTGCCCACTCTTTATTTTCAGTTTATTTCCCATGAAGTTTGTCCTCCTCTTTGACAGGGTAGTGATTCTGGGGTGGGGTAAGAGTGCTTTTTTCAACCTCGGATGTCCTTCCAGAGGTTTAATGTGGGGATAATTTTGTTAAAGCCTGGCATGGTGCTCCTGTCATGACTGAATGAAATATTAAGTTCAGCTGACCTGGCAGAATAGTTCTTTTCATCTGCCTTTAGTGATTTTAATGCTCGTAGTTTCTCTCTGGTCTTATAGTGATATTGTTGGCAAGCTTAATTGTTTGTAGAAGGTAAGAATGCTTCCTAACTGGAATGTTATTGACTCTTATCTAATGATTTACAAGGAGAACTGGGATTCCATTCAATAAATAAATGGTTTTTTTTCATATTTTGGAAAGTAGTGGAAAAACTAACTAAATGTAGCATTAGTCATAGTCCTTTAAATTGAAGAAAATGTAAAATGATTTTTGTTAGTATAATTATTTTGAATATTTGATGGCAAATCTAGATAGAGCTATGGGATTTAAACTTATTTAGATATTATTTTTATATATATAATAATTGCTTATTCCTACCTAATGGGGAAAGATGAAAAATATGAATATCTAGTTTAAGCACCTATAGTCATAGGTGGGAAGATCTTTAAATATTTTAAGAAGCTAAAAAAATACAAAATGTAATCAAAGATAAGTGCTGGGGTAAGGGTTGCAAATTTCTGTGTGATAATAGAAAACTTAAGTAACATTTAACTGAAATCTGAGACTGTAGGTTACAAGGACTGTGAGTCAACTCTGTCTGTAAGTTAAGAAGTCCTCAATGAGTATAATAAATATTAGAGTTATCAGACAGAATCCAGGAATACTGTGCCGGAAATCTTGATGATAAAACTTTGTTAAGCCAAAATAATATCACCAAAAATGCCTTCAGATTTATAATTGTTTGAATAAAGGATATGAAACTCTCAACCATGGGAGATTTATAATGAACCATAAAACATTTGTGAATCAAACTCATGGAATTAATTTTATGCTAAAGAGGTACTAAATATTTTTATATACTTGCAACTTTGCTGATTAGAGTTACATGTTAGTCTTTTAATTCCATTTTAAAATATGTAACCAAGTAATTGATTTAGGCTAGTGATTGTCAAATGGACATCTTACCAAGTTTGTATTCATTGTATGAATATTTACAAAAACCACAGTTATACACTTAATTTATTACATTTGTAAAGATTACTTTAAGTACTTAGAAACTTTTATAGATAAGCAAACTATCTAAAGTGAATAGAATGCCTTGGGGTTTCTCAGTGAATACGGAATGTTGAACTTTATTCTTGTAGGTCATTATTTATGGTTTAGTATGAGCTTTATAAGGACTGCTTTAAAGTTATTGTGGGGAAGATCTAGAGCAGACATTGTTGTAGGGCTAGCCTCCTACTAAGATGTGATCTTTATTGGGTCTCTATGTTCAGAGGCCTGTCCTGTCTAGTAGTGGATCCTGAATGCCTTCCAGACCTTTATAAACTAGAAATTTTTCAGTTTACAACTCCCTGAGTATTCTTGGCCAGACTTGTGGAGGTTACCCTGTGCATGTGTGCTTGCCATTCAGTTCTCAAGCTTTTCCTCTGAGAGCTTTCTCCTCTTCAAGTGTTTTGTTCTGTCCATTCCTGTTGCCTAGCCTCACTGTGCCAGAGTTCTCCCTCTCTGCACTGCGATCTCTATGTGCCTTTAGTTGGAACACTGGGGTTACTGGACAGCGTGTCTCATTTCTTCCCCCTTTCCCTCCACGTGCCAGGAGTCAGGGTCTTGCAATGCCTGATGGTTAGTATCTGAAAAGCAGCTCACACACACGCACACACACACAGATACATAAATCTTCCAGATATTTCTGAAAGCATATTTAAAATTTTGTTTAGAAATGTCATAAATTGTGCTTACTTTGCCAGCACATATATAAAATTGAAATGATACAGAAAAGGTTAGCATGGCCCCTGTGCAAGGATGACACGCAAATTTGTGGAGTATTCCATATAAGAAAAAAAATAGAATGGCATAAATCATGTCTGCAAAACAAATGGCAAACTCAAAGTCAATGAGGCGCTGAGGTTTTCTCTCTGTGTAGGAAAGTATAACCAGAATGGAGATGGAATGAATAACTGTGATCAAGTAAAACGTCTTCTGCAGAGAATATAGGAAAGTCCTGGAAATCTGTTAAATGTTAGCTTTTTACTGTTTTTTTTTTTTATTTATCTCACTATTATTGTTATTCTCATATATGTCACATAGCTGGTTTGTAATGAATGTTTGTTGAATTAATAGATTAGTTTTCAGTTATATTACTTAAATTTTAAAACTTAGTTTCAGTTCTTAATTTGAAGTTTATACAAAGCTTAGTATATGTTTGATAATATATCTTCTGGTAAAATTTTACTCCTGATAACTTAGATTTGCTAGTTGGAGAGAAGAGAGATTGAAATGTTGTCTCTTTCTTCCTTTTAGAAACCTATTACTACATTTCTCCATTAGTTGGTGTCTTTTTCTTGGCTCTGACTCCTATCTGGATTATAATAGCTGCCAAACATCCAGCTACAAGGACAGTCCTCCACTCAGGCTGGGAGCCTGTCATAACCGCTATGGTTATAAGTAGGTTAGTATTGAAATGTGTGTGTGTGTGTTCTATCTGCATGTGTGTATATGCGTATTAAACAAACTGTTTTTATTTCTTGGGTTAATATTTCCCAGAATCAGTTGGTAATTGTCTCAGGTAATAACGAATCTAAGTTTTAGGAATTATTGAAATCAGATGACCGAAACTCTTTTGGCCACCAGTTTCAAACTTCTCTCCAACCACAGCTTTACAAGATTGATGAGTAAAATTTAATGGTGTATGTGTGTGAACAGAGTTCTAAACTGCAGGCCCAAACGTCAGGGGCGATCTTGCCAATTACCCCAGTATACCAAATCAAAAGATGAATGGTAAAGGGCAGAGTAAGGAGATTTGTTAACACGGCACAGGCACACTGCAGGAGGAGACAAGTAAGCCCGTCTTCAGGGTCCTGGCATGAACTTTAGGTTGAAATAGAGGAAGACCTGGGGGGAAAGGGGTAAGAGGTATGCATAACTATTAAATAGTCAGGTTGCAGCTGTGGTCTGGTGGTAAGAGGTGGTCAGAGGTGATCTGGCTGTTCCTTATTTCAGGGCCTTGTTATAAAAAGAAAGTCATTGTTGCCTGGCAGGGGGTAGCTTCCCCTCCTGTAACAGGATGACTCAATGGCTATTTATCCATCAGACCTATCCTTCCTGGATTCTGAGGTGGCTGGAAGGTGACTGCAGGAGAGAATTGCTTAGAGCAAAGGGCACAGATACAAAATGAAGACAAAGATGCCAACCTTTGATCCTGTTTTTAGTTACCCTCTGAACATTTGCAGGCCCAAGTAAGGAGTCAGTGTTTTTCAGCAAAAGCAGGTTCTAAGTACCTGTTACATGTTTTTAACCCAATGAGCCCATTATTTATTTTGAGTTGTTAGGTTGCTCAGGTAAATATCAGAAAGTCTTAGGACTTCCATACCTAGGACTCTGACAAACTTAAGAATGTAATTAAGGATGTATGCAGATTTAGTTGCAAGTTTCCTTATCATAGTAGAGTTTTTAATGACAACAATATAAAATATCTTAAAGGTCTAACAATCAAGTATTGATTATATAAATTGTAATATGCTCACAAAATGTAAAATTAGTTAGCCATTAAAAGTAACATAGCATTTGACTGCTGTGGAAAGATGTTCAATATACATTTGGTGAAAAGAGTAACCTAGAAAAGATTACGATTTTCCTGTTCAACATGGTAAATTAAGACATGTTTATCTTCTTCTTCCCTGAAACTACTAAAATGGCAGCAAAAGAATAAAAATGCTATAAAACCATAAGCCAGAAGGGGAGCAGAGAAGACAGCAGGTGAGATATTAAAAAAATTAGAAAGGTAGGAATTAGATGAATGGTTTCTAACTGAACAAGCAGAAAGAAAAAAGAAAAAAAACTAAAAATCACCTGTCTCTAGAAACAAGCTGATCTGAACCTCAGAAACTCAGGCAAAGAAATTACAGGCAGTGAGGTATTCTGAAAGCTTAAATGAAGCATATTAGTTGAAAGTTTAAGTAGGAAGCAGTTAGAGCCCCAAAGCTCTTCTTCAGCTTGAGCATTCAGGTAAATACCCCTTCCTTTCTTAGCAGAGAGGTTGTACTTCATAGGGGAGGATGTAGACTAAGCACTGTATGAGAAACAGGAAGACTGTGAAAAAGTCTACCACTGAACAGTGAGAACCCTATGCTGCTTCCTTTTCCTTGTTCATAGAACACTGGCAGTCATGCTTATATGCTCAGTCATCTCTGAGGAGACTTAACAGCAGAAAAGAAATGGCCAGCAGATACTGACCTTTTGGGGCCCTTCAGTGACCAGCTTTATCTGTGTATACACCGATCTCCCAAGTGTGCTTACAATGCTCCTGATGTCTGGAGGATCACCAGACATTTGATGAAGGCCTGTAGCATAAAAGACAGACAAGAAGTACCCAAATAAAATATAAATAAATAAAATATAAATCTAAAAATATATCAGTAGCAGAAATAAAAAGTTGGACAATAAAGGTGAAGAACTCTCCTGGAAAGTAGGACAGAAAGCAAAGAAATGGACAATAAGAGACAAATAAACAGAAAATTGTCAAAGAAACAATACAAGAAAACTCCCCAGAATTGAAGAAAGTTTGTAGACTGAAAGGGCCCACTAAACACTCAATGCATGAATTAGAGTGTGAGAGAGCTGGCGCATAGCTCAGTGGCAGATGCTCAAAAACCCTGGGTTCAATCCCTAACACTGGGGGCGGAAAAAAAGAGTAGAGTGTGAGGAGGAAACCAAAGCATGTCATAAATCATAAGAGCTTCCAGGGAAAAAAGAAGTTACGTATAAGGGACTGGGAATCACAATAGCATCTTGTAGCAACAGCAAAAGTGATTTCTTTAAAATTCTGAGGGAAAATTATTTGGGGCATTAAACACAGTCATAAAATCAAATATGAAAGGACTAAGGAAATTTTCAGACAGGCAAGATCTTTTAGAATTTGCTTCCCCTATGTCCTTTCATTTAAAGCTGAAAGTATGGTCTATCAAAGTGAGGAAATAAATCAAGGAAGAAGATCACACAGGAATGAGGAATCTCATTTTGTGATAGCATAGGGTTCATTTTTCTGTAATGTAGATTGCTTTTTCCTGGAGGATTCAGGCAACTGAATCCTATGAAATATTGGGACTTGAAAATAGTACGCAGACCAAGATCCAATGTGGAAGAGATTGGAAGGTTCAGGATGACCACTGGGCCTCCAGTCTGGAGACTAGACATCCATCTAGATTGTCAGGACAGTGGGCATGAGGAGAGGTGTCTCTAAGAATTAACAAACATGGAATTGATGAAATTGATGTATTGAGAGGCATTTCATTACTTTGTTATACATTTGAGGCTGAGTTAGGAACGAGTACTTAAAAAGTGAAGTTAAATATGAGCAAAGCAAAGAGTACACGTGGGGATATTAATATGCTTTGTAGTAAACTGTGAGTAATGATTCAACTCTAAATATTTCATCATAAATTATAATATAACTCCATTGGCAGGATAGGAGGAGGAAGGGATTTGTAAAGGGACCAAAATAGGAGGGCACATGTATGGCTAAATCCTCACCTGCTGTAGGAGCAAGTCATTAGACGCATGGCTAGAATGAAAAATGAGAATGAAAAATGAGAAATAGCCATTTAAACATGTTACTTAGAAACGTAGAATTAAATGCCAGAAGAAACGAGAGACGTTGGAAAGAATTCGTAGTAGAGAGGATCTGGGAGTGAGGCTGAGGACTACTATCTTATAAAAAGATAATGTACACTTGTTTTTGGATAAAATAAAATTTAATACAAGCAAACTACTTTCACAATTTGATCTTATTTAATCTTTTAAAAATCTTTAAAAATATTTGAGAGTGGAGTTGGGAAGATAGTAAAAGTATAGAAAGTTCTAGTCAGGGCTGTGGAGTGGCTCAAGTAGTACAGTGCCAGCCTAGCAAGCATGAAGCCCTGAGTTCAAATCCTAGTACCACTAAAAAAAAAATCAACTAGAACGTTTTAGTTAGATAGAGGAATAAGTTCCAGAGCTCTGCTATGCAACATGGGGTCTATATTTAATAAGGATGTATTGTATTCTTGAAAATTTCTAAGATACTAAGTTTTAAGTGTTCTTACTACAAAGTGAATGATAATTATGTGATGTCATTCATATGTAAATTAGCTTGAGTCAGCCATTCTACAATGTATGTATATTTCAGGACATCATGTTGTATAGGATAAATACACATAGTTCTCATTTGTAAGTTGAGGAGAGGTCTTCTCTTTTTTGGTGCTGGGATGGAACCCAGGGCCTCACGCATGCTAGGCAAGCATTGCACCACCAAGCTACATCCCAGCCCTCGTTTGTAAACTGAAGTAAATAAAATATATAAATAAATGTCTGGAGGCCTGTATGCTAATGATATAACTCTAAATGATGCAAACTAGGTTGATTTTTATTCTTGTTTTCATTTTCTAATTTTTTTCTATGAGTTTCATTACTTTGGTTACAAAAATATTTAAAATGTATTTTAATAAATATTCATGTTATATCCACAACATGATCTGAGTGTTTTGGCAGGGAGAGTTATTCTTTGATTCATAAGTAGTGTGTTCTTCAAATACATTTTTTGACATTAGGGCTTAAAAAACTAAGTATTTTTGGACACTTTGGTATACCTTTTTAATGGGAACTCCCATCAGTTATGTATATTTTGTCAAAATTCATTTATTTTGCCAAAGAATTTAAATACTAAAGAACTGATAGTTTCCTGATGTTTATTTCAATCAGTCCCATTCTGTGATTCTGTGATAGCATGGTTCCATTTTGTAATGTAGACTGTGTTTCCTGGAAGTGCACAGATCCTGTGGAATATTGGGACTGACAATGTTTTACAGCTCTTAGACCAACAGACTGAAGTTAACCAGCCAATAGCTTTGTCTCAAGTTCCGTTGAGAGATTGAGACTGTATGGCTTACCACTATATTACATTAAAAATACCTAGTTATTTTTCAAGATTGCTCAAGTTCAGCTCTTTATGTGGCTACAACTTACTGTTTCAATTTACTAATGATAAAACACATTTTAACTTTACCTAGTTTTAACACAATAAGAATCTTCCCTTAATGATGTGCTTACTTCAGATATGAAAGGATACTTTTAAAAAATTTTTTTTATTAGAAAAATAATATATGACATGATTTTAAAAAATAAGCACAGAAGGATGTAAAATGATCACCAGTTCTCTGTCAGTCTCACTCCTAGAAATAGACATGGTTAATAATTTCTTATAGGTCCTTCTAGACATTCAAATCCATTTAAGCATATACTTTTCTTTTTTACAATTAGCATATCTTGGAGTTGAGAGTCATGAAATTTGGAGCTATAACTTATACTATGTTGTATTTCCAGCTTTTTTTCTGTTGAATTTGATTTTTACTTTGAATATTTTTCTTTCTACTCCATTTTTAAATGTGTAAACATTTTATTTTACAAAGTAGGGATGTATTTTGTGCAGAATACCTTCAAGTACTTTCCTCTTCTTCTTCCATAAATCATGTAATTTTATTTCTTTCAGCATTGGGGGCCTTATTCTGGACACTACTGTTTCTGACCCAAACTTGGTTGGGATTGTTGTTTACACACCAGTTATTAACGGTAAGAATTAGATGTGCTGTTTCATGGGGATAGCAAATCTTTATGTACTCTTAGGTACTCAGAGGAGTTTCAAAGCTTAGATTTTAAGAGCCCTATCCTCCAATCCCATCCAGTTCCCCTCCAATGCTGTGTTGTTTCTCAAAGTGGAAGTTATAATCCCTGGACTTTTTTATGTAGAATACAGTTTAAACCTGACTTTTAAAACTAGTGTGGAAAGATATTTATTTCATATCTGAATGATGCTCGGGCCTTTGTGCTCTTACACTGTTGCTGCCTTTGTTAATTGTCATGGATAAATGAGAATTGGGGAAGTCTCACCATTGCCTGAGTCAATTCAGTTCATTAATTCTGCTGATCTCTAAAATCTTCCTTACAGTTTTCTTTTTCGTAAAATGAGAATTTACATTTAATAAGATAATTTTGTTCAGTCCTAGTGATTTGGGGGATGGCTGTCATTAAATTGGATCTTAGGATAGCCTAGACCAATATAATTTTGTCTTATTTATTTATTTTTCATTTATTCACATGTGCATACATTGTTTGGGTCATTTCTCCACCCTGCCCCCCTCCCCCACCTTCTCCCCCTCCCCCCTTCAGTTCCAGGCAGGTCCTGTTCTGCCCTTATCACTAATTTTGTTGAAGAAAAGACATAAGCATAATAAGGAAGACAAAGCGTTTTTGCCAGTTGAGTTAAGGATAGCTATACAGAGAGACTCCTAACATTGCTTTCATGTATCCATGTGTTACGATCCATGTTGATTCAACTCTAACTGATCTTTCCCCTGCTCATGATAACCTCTGTCATTTTAAGATTTCTACCTGGGAAAAACATGTCACAGGATCTATATAAATCATTCTTCTATGTTTATATAAAAGAAAAGTTTATACTAGGGCAAGTTCTCCAAATTTCTCATTTCATATCTAAAATTTCTATTGAGCATGTTAATTCTTGTCTACCTTTAGAATGCCCATGAGCAAATTCCCCTTAAAAGTCTTCCTCCTAGTTGCCCTGATCCCACCATTCTCCCATGACCTGTTCTTAAAATCATGTAACCATCTGATTCAGCTTGGCTCATGTCTTTGACTTCAAAATGATCAAACATTGTCTCTTTACCCTCTAACACAATTCAGTTGTTCATTTGTATAACAAGCAGGTTTCACCAATTTAATCTGATGTCCCACTAAGGCTATCCATTCAAGTAATAAGGTAATCTTCCTGACTCACTCACTATTCAATGCAAGTTAAATATCACTAAAAGACTAATGTTCTGTAAGCAGTTTTTTATTATATCAGTCATAAGATAAACTTAACTGCTTTTCTCCTGTGTAGCAAGTCAAATCTGAATCCCTCTGTCTAGCTTTCAAAACCTTCCATATGCCGTTCAACTGTGTATTCCCAAAGGATATGCACAACTTTTTCTGTTATCATTCTTACTATATTCTTGTCCTGTCCCTACAATGATTGTCTAATTTTCACTGCCTGGAATGACTACCACTTTCCTGTTCAAATTTTCTTCAGTGAATATTAATTGACAAATTCAATAAAGATTTTAGAGTTGTATTGAACAACATTGCAGTGAGAAATTTAACTTGAATTGTAATAAGCCCATTACTAGTAAGGCTTTAATGAGTATTTCAGCTGTCACCTTATATAAAAAAACATTCTATAGCTTCATGAAATGCCCTCCTTAGAAGTCTATGCCATGCCACTTTGCATGGTAGTAAAATCCTTTCTGTGCCTAAGTAAACCTCTTAGCTGGACATCACAATGAGCTTATCTTAAATTAATTTCCGCTCTTTAAAAACATTCACACAGAAGATGCCCTCCACGTTTCTCAAATAAGATGAAACTTGAGAATTGAATTTCATTTTAAACATGCTGCTTAAAGGACTCCTGTTTATCATCATCATTTGTGTTTAGTGAGTATCTAATATGTGTCAGATAACTTACAAGTCTTTTTTTGAGATATGGTAATCCAGGCTAGCCTCGAACTCACAGTCTTCCTGCTTCATCCTCTGGAGAGCTAGGATTACAGATGTGCATCATTGCACCTTGCCCTTACAGGTCTTTTATGAGTTTTATATATCTTTTTTTTTTGAGGTTCTGGGGACCAACCCCAGATTACACCTCTTGTCTACCAAGTGCTGTTTCACTGAGCTATGTGCCCAGCCACGTTATATGTCATTTAATCCTCACAGAAGTAATTTGCCAAATGATTAATATCCAATAAGTGGTGAGTCAGGATTTAAACCCACATTTGCTTCATTCCAAAGCCTGCCATTTTCCTCTCAAAATATACAACTACTAATGCATCTGTTTTATTAGACACATGAATACATACCATTGTTTAAAGCAAAGTGTAGCTATAGTGTACTTATGGTAAAGTGTTGATACTGTGAGTAGGACATCTTTTAATACTTACTAACTTCTCTAGAACTACTGTGTTTCCAAATATATTTCATGGTAGCACTAGTTCTGCGAGGTGTTAATAAATACAACTTGAAAAGTGAGTCCTGTGGCCAATTAAATTTGGTAAATTAAGTTAAACAAATTTCCTCACTACAGGATTTCTTAGTCTTTCTCCTGCTAATATTCCTATGGATCTCTCCTTCTGGTACTTCTGCTAGCTAGGTGTTGAAATTTCTGATCTAATCTTCCTTCAGACCCCAGACCGCATTTGGGGAACCACCAATATAGGGTTTACATTCTATATTTTTATTAGTGTATATTAATTGTACAAATGACATTGTATTGTGATAATAAAAATGACATGAGAGCCCATCTCCCCTCAGTCAGTATGGCAGTCATCAAGAAAATAACAGCATGCTGGTGAGGATGTGGGTGGAGGGGAGGGGACCCTTTTACACTGTTGGGGGGAATATAAATTAGTGCAGCCACTATGGGAATCATTATGGTGGTTCCTTAACAAACTAAAATAAACTTATCACAGTCTACTGCCTTTTTTTCAGTACTGGGGTTTAAATTCAGGACCTCATGCTTGCTAGGCAAATGCTCTTGAGCCATGTCTCAGCCTTTTGGCATTAGTTATTTTCAGGTAGGGTCTTCCATTTTTCCCATGGTGCTGGGACAACAGGTACATGCCACCATGCCCAGCTTTTTGTTGAGATGGGGTCTCACTAACTTTTTGCCTTGGCTGGCTTTGAACTGTAACCCTCCCAATTGCTGCCTCCTGAGTAGCTAGGATTACAGCCCAGCCCACCAGTCTACTTTCAAACAATAATATTCCACTTTACATATAAGAGTCTTATATCATTGTACTTGAATTACATCCCCTTTCTTTTGTGTCTACCATACAATTTACTTTTTTAAATAAACCCTATAATGCATTGTTACTGTTTGTGCTCTAAACTACTTTTTAAGGAGATGAAACATGAGAAGATGGTATCTTCTCTATTTTCCTATACAGCAAGACATTTCCAGCACTCTTTCTTCTGTATAGATGCAGATTTCCATCTGGATCCTTTTGCCAGTGGAGGTTCCTTTTAGTGTTTCTTGTAGGGCAAGCCTCAGAGAAAATAGAGGCATCAGAAATGGTTTGTCCCAGCATGCCTCTCTCCTTTCCCTTCACTTCTGTTCTTACCTTTAACAACACCTCCTTTTAGCTTCTTTTGTCTGTCTCAGAAGAGCTGACTCTTGTCCAAGATGGATCTACCTGTGGCCTGGATACCATTTGATTGCAACTCCGTGGGATTTTTATTTCACCTGTTACTTTAATGTTTCCTCTGACTCTCATGTCTTCCCCTCTTCCATCTTTCCCTTTCTTATATAAATGTGCCCAGCATGTTATACCGTCTCAAGCTGTGGTTCTCTCCTCCTCTTCACGACCATACTTTTCCAAGTACAGTCTCCACTTTTCCAGTTCATTCCGGTACTTTCCTTCCCTTTCTCTCTACATAACTGCTTTTAGTAAACGGACCTGTGACCTCCTATTTACTTTGCTAATTACTGTGTTCAGTCTTCATTCCCTTCAGCCCTTTTCCACTCTCCCAATTCTCATCCCATCCTCTAAAAATTCTGATAATTTTCCTTCACTGGCTTGTACTTTCTCCCTGCCTCTTAAGTGTTTGTATTCTTCAAGATTTTGTTCTTGATCATCATCTTTACCCTTTTTATTGGTGATCTTGTCTTCAGAGATTTGCAAAGTGTAGTCCCCAGACCAGCTATATCACCTGGGATTTTGTTAGAAGTGCAAATTCTCATGCCTGAATTGGAAGCACTGAGGTCAAACCCCTCAGTTGATTCTGATAAAATGCAAAAGTTTGAGAATCATTTGTGTCATCATATGTCTTTTACCACTTTTTTCTCTAGTGTAGACCATCTTTAACACAATCTAGACACATATGTTCACTTCCCAATCTGCACTTTAAATTGGTTATTTTCACATGGAAGATCCAAAGCTCCTGAACCCATTATCTTCCCCCAACCCACTCTTCCTTCTTCATTTCCTAAGTCCAGTAACAAGACATCTCTTAGTCACGTGCTCCTAATTCTCTACTTTTACCAGCTCTTAAGATAACTTCTGAATTACTTGCAAAGCTTTGTCTCTATTGTCCCTGCTTTTTGTTCATTAGCTTTTTTGGAGTAGAACTCTAGGAACTGCCTCTCTGCCTCTTCTATTATCTTTCATCCACATTTGCTGTCAGAGTTATCTTCCTAATAAACCTGATCCTGTCTCTTCTCAAAGATCACAGTTAGCTTTTCATCTCCTTGAGTGTAAGGTAGAAATTATTTAGTGTAACATGCTGGGCCCAGTCTGCCCTAAGCTCTGCCTCTCCAGGCTTATTTCCCCACCACTCCACCCACTTGGAAGTTCTCATCTTTTTGAATTGGGCATGTTTCCTCAATCAAATACATCATGCTGTTTCTTTGTACTGTGCCTTTGTACTTACTGTTCTGTCTTACTCTCCTTTTCTTGCCTACAAAGTTCTGCTCATTTATCCAGACCCAGTTAAAGCGTCATAAATTCTGCATAGTTGAT